CCCCCCCAAAAAAAAAAAAAAAGTCCTACAAAAAAAAACGTCCCTTTCTGGGCCTTGGCTCTTCCCTCGTCCTCGGTGACCTGGAGCTCTTCCATCATGTCGCTCTTGTTCCCGACCTTTTTAAAGGGTTTAAATAAGGGTTTTGGGGGGGTTTAAATGGGGGATTAGAGGGTTTAGGGTTCCCGACCTCTTGAGGGTTTAAAATAGGGCTTTATAAGGGTTTAAGAGGGGTTTATAGGGCTTTTGGGGCTTCTAGGGTTCATAGGGCCCTTTATGACTTTTAGGGCTTTTTTTAAATTGCTTTTAGGGTTTAGGGGCTGAACCGACGTGACATGCTTGCCTCAGGAACTCCTCCTTCCCAGAGCTCTTTGCTGCGCTTGCGGAGCCCCAGTGCTGCCACTTAAGAGGAATGGGGAGTCCGCTAGAGTCACTGCTCGGGGCCTCTTGCTTCTTGAAATCAGCATATGTACATCAGGCGCTGTGGCCGCTTGAAGCTGCCCTTGAGGATGATCTGAAGGAACTGATGTTGCTGCAAGCCTCTTGGTTTTGGTCCCTGGAACCTGCTCAACATTTAAGTTCAAGCCATGGCAAGCGATCAATGCATCTCTCACGCATCCGTGAAGCCTATCCAGAATACAGTCCGTCTCTGGGACTCGTTGAGATAGTGAGGGGAGAAAGCTCAAGCCGCCACATGCTCGGCACCAGAGGGCAGTTGGACCCTGCAAACTGATTGAATTCTGCCGCAGACAGCTTTAAACAACTTTTGCGAGTAGCCGCCGCTGCCGCAAGTGAATTTGCGGAATGCAAGACTCAAGGCAAGCCTAGCCAGCAAAAAACCACACTTCCAGGCCCGCATGCATGGTCATGCCTGTCACGGCGAACCCTTGTGCGCCGTGCAATGCATGGGAGCATCGAGCATCTGCTCACACGACTAGCGAAGCCGCGCCCACCTGCGCGACAAGGCACATGTCAGGGAGGGAACGATGCCTTAGGCGATAAAATATCTTAAAGGGCCTTTGAAACAGGATGAGATCTAGACGTCCCATTCATTGCCAACCATGAGGGTGAGTGCAAAAATCACATAGGCAACCTGGCCTGCTCTTCCTTGGGACATGGAAGCCCAGAACAACTGGGGGCCACCACATAGGTGGGAAGCCCGGCCAGCCATCGGCCAAAAGCATCCTTACGCTTGGCTTTTTCGCAGTGCACCGCTCACTGTGTAGCTGTTTGCACCCTCGACCTGTGCGAGCACCAAATGGCAGCTGGGCCGCTTTGAAGGACACCCCTGAGATGCTGCGAGCAGTGCCAGCCTTGGATGTTCTCTTATTACCGGGAAATTCCCGAAAGTTATGGATTGATCAAACTCAACTGAACAGAGCGGTGTTGCTTATACCTGCTTCGGGGATGACATGCATGAAGCTCGGCTGATAAGGAACAGCATCTGGGAGTTCTTTCTTCTGCATTCGACCCCGAAACAGTGTACATGTCTTGCTGCATTGTGCTAAGGACCCCAGCATCCCACACGCATGCGGATGCTTCCTCCAGGACATGACATGGCATGACATGGCCAAGAGGCCAGATCCTGCAACAAGTCGCCGGTGTGGTCGAACCTGGCTGGGATGCTGTTTACCAGGACACACGCACCTTCGAACTCTGTGATGAGCGGTCTCTCCAAGCCGGCTCGGAGCACCCGTACTTTTACCAGATGTGAAAGCTAAAGTCGCTTGTCTCTTCTCTCCACCCACTGAATGCAACTGGTACACTGCTTCGAAAGCGAGTTGCTGCTGTGCGGGCTGCCAAAGTCTGTTGTATGAGGAAAGATACTCGGTTCAATTCGTTCCTGCGTACATACATGAGGTCGCAACCTCGACGCAGCTATTCGTTCTCGTGGCACTTGTAATCAATACCGCAATACCCCTCCCAAACCCGTCTCCCCCGCAAAGCCATCCGACAGCCGGTATTCTATCCACATACTGTAAAGGTGTGTGAAGCACAAGCGTTAGCGCTGCGCCTGCTTGGAGCATAGATGCCAAAACGGGAGTTGTTCTGAATCGCAGCCTCGGGTCATACAACAACAATGTCCAAAAGCAGAAGGTCAAACCTGCGCAGGTGCATTGATGCAAAGGCATTGTCTTGAACTCTTGCGCATGAGACTACAGCTCTCATGCATGTGAGACAAGCTTTCAGGTGGCTTGCAAAAGAAACTTCAATTTCTCGGCACTACGCGTTCCCATCAACAACTCATGTATATAGTCATAGGGGCCATACGCCAAAGATCTCTAGAAGCTATAATCTGTAAGCCCGTTTGTCCTGTCTGTACAGCGGCTTAAGGTCCCTAAAAGACCCTAGACCCAGCGAGACAACGGAACCTCGAGCCCTCCCAGAGCCCTGGGCGGACAAGGCGCACCCAGCGTTGCGTTCGTCAATCGCCCCAGGAGCGCTAGGTAACCTTGTTAGGGCCGTTATAGGGCCATGAAGGTTGAGGGTTCAGGGTTTCACCGGAACGCCTGAGTGGTAGACTTGGCGGATGCTGGGACGCAGGCTCCGGGTTTCAGGGCACAGTGAGCTTTCTGGGACTACACGAATGAGATGACTTCCTTTTGGGCTCGCAAATAAAGGAAGCCAAAGCAGTTGGAGAATGATTGGTCCATCAAGGCATCAACGCCAGCACCATGTCAATTCCGGGTTCTGGATCACATGAGAATGAGAGCCTGAAGCCTCAGATCGCCTCTTGCTGGCACAAGCATGTCTCCCTTTGGTGAGGCCGCTCCAGCGCTGCAGTATGCTGAAGAGACCCACAAAACACAAGGATACACGTCCAGGGATATCCTCGAAGTAGCAGGCCTCTTTTTTCACCGAGCCAAGGCACGTCCAGGAGTGGAGGTGGCCGACACTTCAGCAGTGCAGGTGGAGGCTGGACAAAGGCCCAAGTGAAGTACTTGGTACCTTGGAAGCGGATTGGGACTTCTCCTTGGGAGTTTGTCCGTGTAAGGAGTCAGGAGTCTGTATGCTGCCTGCAAGCCTCCGACCCGAAAACTAACCACCTGCGTTTCGGCGGCAAACTTTCCACTTTAAACGGACAGCAGTGAAGGAGGACCATCCAACATGAAACAGCCAGCAGCAGCCCACGGCTTGTTCTTGCCTAGAAGTCTGAATGCACTTGCATGCACGAAGCTCGCCCCGCTAAACTTCCTTTAAACCATGCCACCATGCTCTTAAAATTTCGTTCTTACGTTCGTGTGACTATATACCGAACCATGCTTGCGGCTTTGGCCCGAAGAGGGTCAGCCCTGAAGCCTGATCTCACTCAGTTCACACGCTCGCAGCCGAGAGGCTGGTCAAACTGATTCTGCATCAGGAAGACATCTGCCTGGTCTTCAATCCATGACCGGACTGGTGTCCCTCGGCATGACACCGAAAGCCTCGTAGGCTCCTTTCATTGCAGATTAGCCACTTTCAGCTCAGGCAGGATGCGCGAGACGTCCTGGCACAGACTCGCTGATAGCAGCTGCAGCGGGCAGTAAAAAAGCACTGTGTACCTGGAGTCTCGTAGCTGTTTGGCCAAAGCGATTTACAGTTTAACTTCACAAAGCCCATCAGCTTCATCTAACGCTCAGCAGTACTGAAACAATCCCGAACTCAGTGTGGCCTTCAAACCGCTCATCTCAAAAATCCTGGAAGGGTCCTACTCTTCTCCGGACTCCTCCGAGGCTTATTATTGGTGTGGTCTCGAGATGAAGACACAAGGATTCCAGCATTTCACGACAATCGTGCTCCCCCACAGTGCTGTGCACGCGTCTCGGGACATAAAGTCGTCTTGGGTACAGGGGTGCGGCTTGTCGGTATCTGGAGCTCGGACTGCTAGGTCTGCTAGGTGCTTTTTTGCTGTTTGGCTGTTTGAGTCCATGCTGTCATACAGAGCAGAAACTGCTTGTTATGTTAATTATTCCCAGTGCTACTAGCTGCAGTAACTGCAGTAGCGGCCGTGGTGGCAGGGCGGTGGCAGCAGCAGGAGCAAGAGGTGGTCGCAGAGAAGAGATCTTGTTCCTGGTGACATCATCATTATGGCTCGTTTTCTTACGTTTTGCTATGGGTAGTCCTGCATCGTCATCTTCGTAGACAGTTTTTCCCTGTAGCAGCAATCAGTAGCTGACATGATCGCGATCGCGATTAGAGTAGTAAAGTCATTAATTATCGGCTAGAACACCGAATTTGCCGTCAAGCTCAACCCTCGTGAGGTGCCAATTCCAAACCCTGAGTGCTAAGCCCCTCAGCGCTAAGCCCTCAAAGTGCCAGCAGCACCTCACACGTGCTTGGAGCTCGTCCAGCTGCTCTTGCGGCTGCCTGGCAGCCCTCGTGGAGGAAGCTTCCTGACAGTTCTGTAAATGCTGCAGCGCTTAGAAGTCTGGTGCAAATTGTAGCTTGCCCGAAGCACGAATATGCACACGTATACAGACGTATCTTCATATTTATATGTGTACAGATAGATAGACAGATAGTTTGGTAAGGTTAGGTAGGTAGGTAGGTAGATAGGTAGATCGGTGAGTGTCTGTGTAGCTGTATTCGCACAAACGCAGACACTTCAAGATACTTCAAGGTCGGTGGCCTTCGATAAGATGGCACCACTTGGCCATGAAGTTGTCGACAGGCCATTCCACACCCAGGCGGAACCTTTCTTTTCTCGGCGACTAGCAAGAACTCAGCAGGGCACCAGTGACGCATCTTACGAAGTTGAGTGCTTCACTCCGGGAGAGGTGTGGCCTACCGATCACATCGAACTTGCTGTCTGACTAGGTAGCCCATTCTCCTTGCACCTTCAGCCCGCGCAGGTGAAGCTGCGAGCCAAGCAGTTCAAAAGTTACAGTGCCTTTGTCACCTGGGACGAGTACGACAGCGATTTCCGCCTTACATCTTCAAAGCCGTAGGAAAGCGGCTGACGAAAGATACTGAGGCAAATCACTGATACGGCCTGAAGCTAGAGCTGCCCGGTCAGCCTGTCAGAATATCACAGCTCTCAAAAGGTATTCCACTTCAACTGCCAAATGCCCCCAGCAAACAGCAGCATTCCTCCACCTGTGCTATAGCAATGCATACAAGTATCTCGTCCCAGAGCACGGGCCAGCCCGACGGAAAGAACATGCCAGCTGCAGACAGCCTTGGTACTGTCCACCCTTACAGCCTTACAGCGGACGTATTTGTCATTCGCAACTTTCTGCTCCATTCTGAAACCATGGGGCATGGGACGCCCTTAAAAGGCTGATGTACCCGGCATGCATGATGTGGCAGAGGCCAGGCAACACCACAACCCGCGGAGAAGCGGATAGGGATGATAGCTTCGAGGAGATCCTCAGCTGAAGGCTGGGAATGCAACAGCGTCTGGCAACCGACAGGAAGCAGTCAATCACAACAGTGGCAGCAAACGTCTCCCCTTTAAGCCGGTTGGTGGCAAGCGCAGTGCGTTCCCATGTCGCTCTGAAAGGATTCTGGCTCTCAGTCTCGGTTTTGTGTGACAACAGCTCCATTAGCTCAGATGCCAGTCTGCGTGGTGAAGCACACCGATGCCGCCTGCACTTTGCCCCGCGAAGACGAGCTGTGACGAGCGCCTGCAGTCGGTCTGGGTTGTGAGTACCAAAAGGCGGACAAGAGCTACCTGGGCCCTGGGAAATAAGCCTTTCAAATGCCTGTAGATCCACTGATCCACTCGTTCATCATCGTCCGGTCGTAATTTCGGGAATAATGACTCCAAGCCCCGCATGCTATCGGGATCTCTGAAAGCTCGCGGTTGCCAAGACTTGGAACACTGTCATGTGTGTAGCAGGCGTACAGGGCATCTTCTGGCGAGCACTCTGCAAAAGGCACCTCAGGGAAGTGGTGTTGACAAGGTGCTCCACAACCGCCTCGAGAATGTGATGTCCGCCTCAGTCATAGTCACGGTTATATGCCCCTGGATCTGACACAAAACGACATCTTGCAGCAACAAGGCACCATGGGTGTTGAGCTTGAGAGGCGAGACAAGATTGTCCAAATGCCGGCGAGGATGCTCATCTGCAAATCGCCCACGATCAGCCGGGGTTTGTGGTCCATGCCTCCGCGATGGACGGAGGTTGCGTTTACAGCAGCACCTCATCGCCACTTCTATTTCTGCTGCATCTGCTGCCACTCCCTCTACTTTCGGTTCTACTTCTACTTCTGTTGCTGTTGCTGCGTCTCCTACTGCAACCACGACAACAACTACTACGACGACGACCACAACTACGAGTATCTGGAATCATCGCTACTGGGATGCGGCATGTCTGACCGTCGGCTCGAGTCCCGAACTTAGCAAAGTGCTTTGGCAGCCGAGGACGAGGCCCAGCCACAGGTCTCCACTGCAGTATGGCACGAAAACCTCTGCTGAAGAGAAGGGCTCTTGGGTGGAGCTTTAGATGACCTGATTGCTCTTGACGTGCCTCTGATCCTGTAGCTGATGAGATTGCTAAGAGACCGGGCTCTCATTGCGTCTGTCAAACGTCCAAAAGCTGGTCAATGGCAGCTTCTGGTATTTGTGTGTGACTGTCTGTGTCTCTCTGAGTGGTTGTGTCTTGGGTGCCATATGGTGATTCCCTGCGTGTATATATATATATATGTGTGTGTGTGTACACACATCTGTGCTTTTGTTTGCATGCGGTTGATGTTCAGTTGTAGTACCAGTTTACTTTGCCGGCAATCATGAGAACCACAGTAAGTCTGCGCTGCTACTGCGATGCTTGCCATGCACTCTAACAAGGCTTCTGCTGGACACCATTGCTGTTGTCGTCTGCCTGTTTCGGGCAGGTGGTGATGCTGCTTCTGATGATGATGTGGATGCCGCTGATGGCAATGACTATCACTTTATAGCTTTCATATCAAAATCGCTGTCGCTGTTCTGATTCGTCTCGCGTTGTTGCTACCACCATTGCCGAGTCCGTTTACTGTTGCAATGGGTTTATTGCCTGCTGCCGTTGCCTCTGTGGTCGCAACACTGCTCCCAAGATCTCCTGGCTGAGTGCAGCAGGGTAGCCTGACTAAAGCCGTGGAAGACGCTGGACGGAGCGCTCGAGAAAGGAACCGCCTGTCGGTTGAGCAGAAGACTTGGATTCGAGGCTTCTCGAGCCAGGCGTTTCTTCCTTTATTTATTCCAAGCCTGGAAAAAAGCACAGAGTAGAAGTAAGGTGCGAAGGTCTCCGTTGAGCCAAACTGATCCCTCATACCTGAACCTCGCTTTCAGCAAGTGCCTGAGGCAAAGTCCGGTGAGCGCTCTTTCGGCCAGGCAAGGTTGCCGAAGGGCCAACACAAAGTATCAAGAACCATGCTGCCAGAAACCAAGCAATCGAAGCTCACATGCAAACACCCCAGGAAAGTGCATTGACGTCTGGCACCCCAAAAGACTATACATGTATGACATATTTTATACTATGCTATTATATTATGCTATTAAAATATTATTTTGTGGTATATTATGCTACATCCTAACTTGTGAAAAAGATTTTCTAGGGTCATACAATGCAAATATAACATAATTACATATAATAGAATGTTTTAACATGTTCTAGAATGTTATGTTCCATCATGCTATATTGTGTGCTTTTCATATATTCTACTAGATGCTAGCAGGTGCATGGCTGCGGCCTCGGGATCCCAGGTTTCGGGCCAGGGCTTCGAGCTGCCATGGCTTGTAGCGGCACGGCGCCTTGCCAGGAAACGTCTCGGAGGGCAAAACGATACGTCCATCAAGTCTTCCGAGAGAACCCATAGCAACGTCTTCATAAAGAGCCAGTGGGATGCCTGCAGTCGAGGGCATCGATGCACAGGCCACCGCCATCAATGAAGATCACCCACTTAGATGGGTCTTGCTCACCTCAGCATCCAGAACTGTAAGTGGTGCTGAACGTCTTGCGACTCGGGCTTTTGGGAGGCTTAGCCTTTGAGCTTAAGGCCGATGACTGATGGACCGGCCCAAGGAACTAGTGCCTGAAGTCGGCGGCCCCAAAACCAAGCACCCGCCGTCTGGAATGCAGAAACAGGGCGAAAGGCTTCGAATGATTAAACAACCGATCACATTACATCTATTATATCTATGTATTCATGTGTGTGTGTGTATATATATATATATGTATACATCTGTGTGTGTGTGTGTCACTACCACTGCTTCCGCGACGATTGCTGCTGCTGATAGCCAACTCCGCCCGATCCCTCTCCACGGTGCGGACACGCGTTGTGAGCAAGCTCGACTGGAAAAGGTCCGGTTTCTCAACTTCAACACGAAAACTTCCAAGAATAAGACACAGGAAACCTTGCACCTCCGAACCCCAAAATCCCCATGCCAGGGTGCGGATGTAGAATCCGGAAGGGCTGGAATCCAGGCATTTGGCGCTGGTCTTGGCCACGACTTCGCTGGGAAGGAGGACCTTCCTGTCCAGGCTTTCGGGCCCGGGATTCATGGGTGCAACCTTGAACGCCGAACCCGCTGCGACCTTTGATAACTAAGGTTCCCGATGTGCGCGTATTTGGTTATGTGGGACTTTTCTCTCATACAGCAGCCTAAACCTCTCTCTGTGCCGACGTACCGACTGAGCTTGCTAGCTAGTTGCATGCCGACAACAACAAATGCATGTAGGTATTGCTCTTTATGTCGGCTCGTGTGTTTGTAGTCTGATACACTGTACATTCCCCAACCAAGTAAGATCCTGCTACGTAAACATGTTGGCTTAAACCACATTTGAGACTCATGCCTTGAATACTTGTTCCGCTTTGACTCTAAATTTTCGACGCAGAAAGAACCACGTACTGCACTGGCAAGTGCACCCACCGATTCACTGGCCGGACCTCGCTCTCTTGCGTACTCGCCGCTTTTCGGTTGCACTTGTGGCTCTCTTTAGGCGATGCTATCGGTTCGTTCGTTTCAACCCTTCCTTGCAGTCTCTTTCAACTCAGTTCGCGGCACGAAGACTCTTTTCCTCTCTCCCTCCCTCTCTCTCTCTCTCTCTCTCTCTCTCTCTGTTCTTCTTCTCTTATAGGGCTAAAGCTCCTGGTCTGGATGAGGATGTATCTGTCCGTGTCTATGTTACCTTGCAGCAGCGTGGTGTCAAAGATTGCCACGGCACCTGGGCAAGTCGGCAGCAGCCAAGCCGAAGAGCAGCCCGATGCGCCACATCCTGACGATGTCGCAGTAATGGTCGAAATCGTCGTCGTCATGGTCATCGTAGTACTGGTGTTGCTGCTGTTGCCGAAGCGACTGTCATCTTCATGTTGCTATTACTGTCATAACGATTGTAGTTTTCACATCTTCTTCCGAATCGTGGGACCGACTCTTGTTGTAGTGCGTGTTGAACTTTGCAGACTGAAGGTTTCTGGGGCTGAAGCTGTTAGGGGTTCTGCGGGTAACTTATGCTGCCGGCTGCTAGTGCTTTTTGTGCCGAGCTTTTATCTGCAGCTTTGGCGTGCTATGAAGGATGCAGTCTTACTTGGGTTTCTCGGCCGCAAGGCTGCTTCAGTCCAGGCTTGGCGCTTAGTGAATTCGAATTGTCGCCCGTGCACACAATGTCACAACTTCTCAAGCTGTATAGGCATCCTTCGCCCCGTGACGCAGAAGTGAACCCCAACAGCTCCGGTTCGAGGATACTGTGCTCAAGCGCCTGTGCCTGCTTTGTCTAAACAAACAACCCCGAACTAACAGCAAAACCATGGGTGAATCCAGTCCTGCAAACAGAGATGCCGCAGTTCGCGCAGACGGGACAGGATGGATGGGGACTCGACAACGAGTCTCAAGTATCAACGTCACTCTCTTCTGGTTTCAATTTCACCGTTGGCTGATGTGGGAGATTCAACAGATGGTATGTTGCTGAAGCGCTGTTAAAGGAGGGAGTTACAGCCTGCTGGACTCTGCTTGCAGCTGGCATGGAAGCATGTGATTATCTGCACGCAGGTACCTGTTGGGCCAGATGCCTGTCGAACAGCAGAACGGAAAATTACACAGCGGAGCACAAAACAAACACACACACACACACACGCACACACACCACGCATATGCATATATATATATATATGTCTGTAAGTGTCTATCTACCTATGTACCTATCTACCTACCATAGAGACATGCAAGATCGTTTTCACAGCGTCGAGATTTAGGTGATCTGGGCAAGCCACACCAAGCCAAACCGCCTGATATGAGAAACCCTCGTTTATCGGAAAGCCCTGTCTAATGGAAGACCCTGCGTAGTACAAAGCGTTGTCTGACAGAAATGCGATACAACCGGTGACTATGATTGAAGAAAGCGACACTTATTTCCCAGCCCCTCACCAGGCAGTTCCCAGCCTTCTGCAGCTGAGACCCCCTATACTCCACCCACCTCCCCAGGATGTTAGAACTCCCCTCTTGGTTCGAGAGGGATTATAGAGACCTTATACCACTCCACTAGTGAAGAGGGTCATGTTCACGATGTGTCCAAGAATGAACAGTGAGCTTACCCTAAACTCGGCTCACTGGCTGAACTCAAAACTGATGGCCTGCATTACGTAGATCCTCATCAGTGCAGCATTCCCATCCGCATGCTTGCATCACATGGCCGTATGTATCATGGTCATGTCGTATTCTCACCCGACACCGGGGTCCACACCAGAATCTTGATTGTGGTCGGACCGCACCTCGAGAGCTGCCATCCGCCAGACAGCCGTCACGGCATAGGACGAGGGTTTGGGACTTCCTCAGCATCCTTCCAATCAACACCTCCAGCTAAGGCCAGGGCTCGTGGTGTTGCTGCACTTGGCCAAGCCACTGCTCGACATGGTCGAAACTGGCCTTAACCGTCTCACCGTGCGAAGTTCGGGTTTCCAGCGTGCCATTCGGTCTCAGGACTCGCACGTGTCACACTACGGCACCAGTTCTATGCAGAACACTCTCACAAGCTCAGTGTTTTCGGGCTCACGACTAAGAATGGCCAGGGGTTGGAGACTGTGCCGAGTTGCCTGTCTTCCTGTGCTGGTTCAAGTTGCTAGGGTTCTTTCTATTCTATTGAATTGAAAAGCAGCCTGCTGCTGCAGCTATGCTTCGTTCTATGGATCTTCACGGCTGTGGGTGCGGAGCTCTTGGCAGGGGCTTCAATTTTGGACAGACAATCTCGACTCTATCAGCCATCTGACCTGGCCATTGAAAAGGCCACGTGCATCATGTTGCAACGTGGTCGCGCTTGCACGCTGCTTCGCAGCCTCCGATGTAAGTACATGGCGATGAGATCCGCAAGTGAATTCTGGGCAGTCGCCGGACGCGCCCGTGCACCAAGTGCACGTGAGCCTATTGATGGAACTGACTCCGCTGTACTAGCACTTCTGCGTTGTTTTTTTCTGATTTTCCACGCCCGTCTTACGGTTCCGAGTGCCAGCAGGAAAGCAGTATCAGTCGTAGCAATGGCAATAGCAGCAATAGCAGTAGCGGCAGCAGCAGCAGCAGTAGCAGCAGTGGCAGTGGCAGTGGCAGTGGCAGTGGCAGTGGCAGTGGCAGTGGCAGTGGCAGTGGCAGTAGCACCAGCAGTAGCAGCAATGGGTGTGGGTGGGGGGTAGTGGTATTATCAGTAGTAGTAGTAGTAGTAGTAGGAGGAGCAGCAGCAGCAGCAGCAGCATTTGATTTTGTTTGTCGTGGTAATGGTATTGATGGACGTGGTGGTCGTAGTGGCCCAGGAGTGTGCAAGCGTGAAAAAGCAGCTTCTGCATAGATCTTGAAGTCTTTCCCTTGATAGCTTGATATGGGACTTGTTCAGGATTGCCCGTCATGCTTACTGTTGCCGAAAATTTGTTTATGCCATATGGTCACCAGTCCTGAGGATTTCTGGGTTTTCAAGACGCAGGAGTTCCGGACTAATCATCTTCCATCAATCCTGCAGACATAGTCACAGAAGCTCGTCACTGATCGACATTACTTGAGACCTGAAGTGACAACGTTCCACCTGACCGAAATTCTGCGGCGGCCCATGGTGATGATTATTATTATGATGCTGATGTTCCTGTTGACGTTGATGAAAATGGCCCATGCTGATCAATCTGAAGAATAGCAGAAATAGCTATGACAGCTATGGTTCATTTCACCGTGCTCTTTGATGGAAAAACCTGTCAAAAAAGCTTGACAAAGATTTGCCGGGCTTGAATGCCTTAGGCATACTTGTGTCAACAGTCTAAGCCTCAAAGCAATAAACACTTTATCGCCTGGGCATGTTAAGACGACGCCACCGCCCACTCCGCTCACTTCAGCAAGCCTTCGGCCCCATACCTCGGCGCTGGCTACAACCCCTCACGTCCAGTGCAAACTTGGCTGAGTTCGGCTCCGTTCAATTCATGGGATGCACGAGCTAGAACCCTTCAACTAGTGTATCAGCAAGCCAAGCTGAAGCTTCAAAACGTCGGTACACTATTTATTGCAAGGCTACCCATGCGGTGGGAGCAGATCATCTGTGCTGAAGCAATAAACGAAGTTTACATAATCCAGTCGGATAGTGCAGCGCAGCATCGTAATACAGTTAAATGAGAGCTGCATTGTCGCAGCATCGAAGGGGGCCTTGAGCGCGAATGGTGCGCACGTTCCCGTTTCGGTGCTGGAGCAGTGCAAGGAAATCGTTCAACAAGGGCTGAGGGGCTACCGATGCACAGCATATGGACGGTTTTGCAAAGCGGAATTTCTGATGCGGCTTAGCAGAGCAAGCACGCCCGAATCACGGTCGCGGACGAGAAAAAGACAGAGAGCGAGAAAAAAAGAGAGGAAGAGAGAGAGAGAGAGAACGAGCGACAGAGAGCGAGAGAGGGAGAGTTGAGAGAAGGTACAGAGTGAGAGCAAAGAAAATCACTACATTCCGAAACCCTGCCGAGAAGCTACTGTATAACTCTCATAAACACAGAGACAGTTCTGCGCCGTGCTGCAGAACATGCAGTCCATTCTTTGAGGCCGCCCCAAATGCGACTAGTAACTAAGCCAAGCCGGCTGTAGCCTCAGCAGCTAATTGCGGAAATAGGTGAGTTCGCAAAATCATTGTACCTCATCTCCACTCATGAACCACTTGTTTCCGAGACCACGAACTGACAGGCATGACGGCTTCGCGCAGGTTGGGGTCGTCTCCATTGCGCCGAGACTCTCTTGCAGGAAGCGCTGCAGAAACTTGCTCGGGGGCTTCTTTTTTGGCCTCGGCAGTCGGCTAGGATACTCCTCGATGTTGTTCTAGGTCTGCCGTCTGCCCAAAGTGCGTGGGGTTGAGGCGCAGACACCACGTGTCTATACTGTTTGATCAGGACATCAATCCCAGCAGGCTATTTTTCTAAGATTTTCAGACCCGGCATGTCCAAAAACTCTGCATGCAAGAACCCGATTCCAACCTTTGAATTGCAGCCCTCTTCAAGCAACAGCTACTGACCTTTCAAGGAACCTCCCTCGAACGGCCCAAACCCTCTCAATGCCCAACCCCGTCTTGACAGTGACCGAGTCCTGCACACGCTGGCCTCAGCGGCCCTCACCGCCTTCCTGTAGATGTTCAGCGTGAGGCTTTCGGGATGCTTTGGGCGAGACACGCTTTGCAGAAATCCTATTCATGGGAGTAAGAGAAGCGCAATACTCATAGTCATAGTATCAAAACAATAATACTCGTCGCTGATCTTTACTTTTCTGCTTGCCCTGACCACGAAATGCGTCTCTCTGCTAGTGATGGTGGTGGTGGCTACATTGAAACTCTGACCATTTCCAGAAAACCAGGCTTCAGGTTTTTGCTAGGGAACCCCCAAGGCATCCATCATGGAGACCTACCCCGCAAGTGACCCACCCCTTCAGTGTCTTAGCCTCATGAAATGTGGCGCAGACCTCGAACCCTGGCAAGGAACTAGGCAGGCCGAGATACAGGTGATTCATCCAACTCCTCTCCAGGGAATCGTCCCTCCTTGGTAGTGGTGTTAAGGAAACCCACAGGACTATGGCCTGTGCGGTTTTGTGCCGCCCACTCCTGTACCCCTGTACTGACAGCCTTCTGCAATTGGACCACTTGTTAGCTCTTGAAGTTGTCACGCTGAGCCGTTGAAGATTCGAAGCCGTGGCATGTGATATCCATGAAAAGACGTTCTTCAGGGTTGGTGAACCAAGAGTTGTTGGTAGAGCTTCATGCTTGCGCAGACTACTTCGAGTTCTTA